ACAATCGCATAACCGTTCAAGAAATGACACGGTGACACGGTGCTTAAAAGCACATAACCGTTCAAGAAATGACACGGTTATGCGGTCTCAAAGCATCGCATAACCGTTCAAGAAATGACACGGTTATGCGGTGCTTGAAAGCCCATAACCGTTCAAGAAATGACACCGTGACACGGTGCTTGAAAGCACATAACCGTTCAAGAAATGACACGGTTATGCGGTGTCTGAAATCGCACAACTTTCTCAAGAAACGACACCATTATGCGATGCCTGGGCGCTGGCGCTTCAAGCGCTCAGTAAGAATGGTATGGCCACCATATCACAACTTGATTTTTCTGACGGTAGCTAACTCATGTTTAGTCGCGATCCTGGTTCCAGAGAAAAGGCCTAAAAAATAGGATTGTCCTTAGTCCAGACCTGCCCTAGCCAGGCGATATCAGAGCTGGAGCGGACCGTGTTGTCAATAACAGGCCGCAAATACTGGCAACCCATAACACAGCCCGCTTGGCTCTTACTATTTAGGGACTGGCGAATCATTCAACCGGAACAGGTCGGCGTCACATGCGCGATCATGTTGTCCCGTCCAAATAAAGAGGAAAACAATGCACTGGGGGAAAATGTGTCAACTCCAAAAGCGACGCCTCGCCTCGGCAGTCCGTGACAGCCCCAGAGCTAGACTAGAACTAGCAGTAAGGCATTTTACGTCACGATCCTGGCTGCTGCCGCTTCCAGAGCTGAGCTCATCATCGCTCGTACAGCATGGAATCAGACAAAGTCCTATCTGCCTGCGTGGCCTTGGTTGGTCTCAGAACACCACAAGGGAGTCCAAAATGCTGGTATTGCTGGCCGGGGCGTCGAGAGAGCTTCGTCCTACCTCGCGGGCCCCGGCGGCGGTCTCCGTGGCTTCTGGACTGGAGCCAAACGTTCCAGAAATCACCCCAGCAGAAAAGGCGCTCGGCGATCACTTCTCTGCTGGTGGTCTCCGCGGCTTCTGGACTCGGTCCCAACATTTCGGAGATGACCCAGCCGAAAAGGGGCTCAATGAGCACTTCTCTGCTGGTGGTCTCCGTGGCTTCTGGACTGGAGCCAAACGTTCCAGAAATCACCCCAGCAGAAAAGGAGCTCAAGGAGCACTTCTCTGCTGGTGGTCTCCGCGGCTTCTGGACTCGGTCCCAACATTTCGGAGATGACCCAGCCGAAAAGGGGCTCAAGGAGCACTTCTCTGCTGGTGGTCTCCGTGGCTTCTGGACTGGAGCCAAACGTTCCAGAAATCACCCCAGCAGAAAAGGCGCTCGGTGACCACTTCTCTGCTGGTGGTCTCCGCGGCTTCTGGACTCGGTCCCAACATTTCGGAGATGACCCAACGGAGAGAAAACTCGACGTATACTTTAATGCTGGTTGTCTCCGTGGCTTCTGGAACCAGACCCCAGTATGCGCCGTCATAGCGGAAAAAGAGCATGGCGAGCGGCCTCTGCGGGGGTTCCATCTATGACATTCTAGTATAACTCCACATTAGCTACCACAAGGCTAATGGGGGTGGTTGTCTGGTGGAAAAGCAATTCTCAAACCAATTCATCGGCGCTTTGGGTGTCTCTTCATTTCTATCCAGGCATGGGATCCCTCGCGTGGTGATACGGGGGGTGGGTCAGAACCCCTTTAGCCTCCGTCGTTGTCGACGATCTCCGACAGCCCCCGCTACGGCATCCCGGCGTTGAGCGGCCCGGGGGGGGGGGGGGGGGGGGGGGGGTGGGGTAAGATGAGAAAACACGGGGGCATTGGGGGGGCCGAGTTGCCCCC